AACGACGAAGACTTTTTTCACTCCCGCGCCTCTACCATCGTTTTCATACGGCACCACATGTTCGTAGCCACTGCCTTGCGTCTTGCTTTTGATATAATTGAGATCAAGTTTTTATGCAAAACGCTATAGTTGTGAAGATTTTACGAAATGAAACTGGAGAAGAATGAGGTCCTTTTTGTTACAGTGTTCGTCGAGAGTACGTCCCGTTGTCACTGGTTGAACTGTCTCGGCTTATTGACTTAGGATGGGTAGATCCATCGTTGCCTATAGATGTTGCTGCCCTTTGCCGTACTCAGAAGTTCAGAATCAAACCGAAACTGCGACAATGTGGATTTGACCTCACTGCAGAGGTGATTCTTCTATTTTTGTATTTTACTACAACATAGTCCATAATGAGACCCTCATTTCTTAATTTCTGTCGTTGTTTTTTCTGATTTGCTTTGACAATATCATGATGGCGGTTTGTGATATTTGCTAATCTATGCAAAAGCAAGGACCATCTGCAGTCCTCATTTGAATTTGAAAACAAGATAAACTACGCCTGATGGTGACTGAGAAGGTCCAGAAGGAAGAGAGGCACGTACGTGTGTATAAGGCAAGGTTCGGCGTGGGAACACTTGCCATTGCCGCACATTTGGAAACATCCCATTTTTTTTGTAGCAGTCCGTATGAACTTTTTTATCTGCTCTTAACCCTAGTTATTTCGTGAAAAAGCAGTCTCCCGTTGCATTCCACAGTGATGAAGACTCCACCGTACCGTTGTTAAATTCTGTCATGACGTCAGTGTTATGCGGGATCATTTACGTTAGGGTTAGGGTAGAACACGTGCCTATTCCGACGGAAAGGGACTGGGAATGGCTTATCAGCCCCTGACCCTAGTTATTTGCTCTTCATCTCATCGCGCATGGATGTGGGCTCCTAAAATTTCAGCAGTCCTCACTTCACTAGATGTGGTATGATTCTGTGGAACTCATCATTGAACTGCACAGCTCACTTCTCTTTTCACACCGGCTTCAATAAAATAATGTGGCTCTTGCCGCGTAATGTGGCTACCGATCACTTGTTGGGGTGCAGCACGCATTCTACTCCCATTCAGAGTCGTGGTGGCGCTTATACAAATAAGCAGCCGATGTAGGGGCTTGTGTTTCTACGCTCCTAGACGAATATTGCACCAATTTTCCGTTCTCGGAGCATACAAAGCTTGGGAGGCGGGCAAGAGGATCGTAATTTGCTGCTCCGCCGCAAGCGGAGATGGGCGCGGCGTTTTCTTAACTCGTGTTAACCTGTCGATTGGAGCACCGGACTTCATGTAGACCCCGTCATCGTAGACATTCATGACTATTTTCGGTTCTGAATTGCCTGTTGTCGCCATCTACGACCTGGAACCATCGTCATTTGCGGGCGCGACGTCGCACGCAACGCCCATCAGCGCGGCGAATTACGATTCTCTTGTCACATACCCACAAAGCTTGGTTAACATGGTCGGAGCCGATCCGGGATTAGACCTCCGGAGTGCGCGCGGGTACGCATGCTATTCGACAACGAGGCCAGCTGTGCCACAACGGCGTGTTTATGAAAACCCCCGTTTTTTTGTGATGTTACGTGGAGCGTAACCATATTTCCTGCTCAGCAGCATGGATTGGATTCCAGCGGGGTCTACTATTCGTTCGACGAGATATCCCCTGACACTTGCATCTCCTGTGCTCTTACTATTGATCAACTTGCTCGAACAGATACCCAGTAATCTCTATTCGTCCCTGCGACGTGCTAAAGTTGCCCCATGGGTACTCTATTCGAGGGACACGATAAACATCATGGTATTTGTTCGGAGCTTTCATGAAGAAATCTTTCCATCGTTTCGGTGGTCCACGTGTTTTTTTACAATCCCGGGGATCGCAATCGCCCTGGTCCAACGGTCATATGACGTGCCCGACCCACCTGACTCAGTACCTTGGCAAATGCGGCTGTGTTTCCAATCTTCTATCGTCGGCGGAGTGCTGCATTCCTCACGATCCCGGATTCCCTCTCTCACCTCCATGTAACGGAGCATCGCTCTTTCAATGGCGCGTTGAATGATGCTAACCGCATGTTTATCCAATTCTTCGTCTTCTTTATTACTCTTTTAGTTCTTGGAAACTTCCCAAACCCATCGCTCCCGCCTGCTCAGCTGTGGTGTCCAGTCGTTCATCATACTGATTTCCCGATAGAGGTCCGCATAGCCAGAGCATTCGGTGATGTTCGCTCCATTGAGCGATAATGGGGCATCAGAAACCAGTCCATTTCTAGAACATCCTTCGTTATTTGGCTGCGAACCGATTTCCCCTTATGCGCACACGGAAGCAGCCAGCATTCACTCCGCTTGCTCGATGTTTGGTGTTATCAAAACGATGTCGTCAGCAAAGCGGAGATGGTGTAGTTGCCGACCGTCGATCTTCACTCCCATTCTTCCTTTTCCAGTTGACGCATGATGTTCTCGAGAAAGGTCGTCAAGAATATTTGGTGGAGTCGTGAAATACCCGAGAACTCGTATAGTATTCGTTTTGCTTTCAACTGATCTCCAGCTGTTTCTATTGCGTTTAGTTTCAGGGTGCCGATGATTTCTCTCACAAAATCGACATCGAAGTGCAATACGCCTCGCAAACGGCCATTTCAGCAATTGAGAAGGCTGGAGGACGAATTCGAGTGGCATATTACGACCCAGACTCGCTTCAGGTGAATATCATGCCTGAAAAAATCCCATTGTTTGATTAGCTGAGCAATCAATGTGCCAACCATATCGCATGCTACCCAACGTACTCGTCATGTCTTTGCTGCTGCAAGGGCTGAAGAAGGTTACATGTATGAGGCGATCAAAAATATTCCATGTTCGGTTCAGGATCTTTTCAGAAGTCATAAGTAAAACCACTTGTATGTCATTTTCCACATTCCTAGCTTTGCGGAGGTTTTCATTTGGATAGAGCGCGAATACAAGACCGATTTTTTGCATGTAATATGAATATATTTAGATTGCCCGAATGATCAGTTTTTCAGGCTGCTGTGGATCCTAAAGCATGGTTCATGTCAGGGCTCCCTGTGCCAGCGCGCAAGGCGCCGCCTCCGTCATTGTTAGAGTAAGTTGGTTATAACTCACCCCAC